TTACAGCGACCCTTCTCTGGTCGCTCGCTTATCGCGGCCCTAACTTACCCGCGGCGTATGAAGTACATTAAGTCACGTAAACAGCGCGCGGGGAGGAATGCCACCGCGGTGACCTCTCCGCGCCGCGCTGGCGGCCCTGGGCGGTGCGCGGGGGGCGGCCCGGGGCTGCGGGGCGAGGGGCCGCCGGGCCGGGCCTGCAGCAGCCGCGCGCGCGCCGGGACTCGGTGCCGACCGCCCTGGCCCGGCGTTGGCGCGGCAAGTTCCCAACTCCTGGTGACCAGCGGGGCGAGGCGAGGGGGCGGGGAGCCGGACGGGGGGTGGGGGGTGGGGGCGACCCGGCTTTCTAGGCTGCGCAGTTCTCGAGCTCCCGCCGCCACCACCTGACTTTCCTAAAGAGTGTTTTTGGGCTACCGCGAATTAAAGAAAAAGAGAGAGAGAGAGAGAGAGAGACAACCCGCCCTCCCCCACCCCAAACACCGCCTGGACTCTCTGGACGCGCTTGCATTGGATTGGCAGCCGCTGAGTCCGGGGGACAGGCCGCCCCAACCCGACTATTGGGGCAGGATGCTGGCTGGGGTGGGGGCACCGGGGCGACCCGTGTCCTTCGTCAAAAGCGTCCCAGGGACAGCAAGAAATACGGTAACGGCAAGAAGGCCCCAGGGATCTTTTTTAAAACTCTCAATTTAAAACTACGTTTTAAATCAGAAATTGTATTCTTTGTATTCTTTCTTTCCGAAACCTCGCTGGAGCAGCCGGGAGCTTTGTGAACTGACAACTTATTGAGCTTAAGGTTTCGGGGGGCGGGTAAAGGCGTGTCGTTTCTCGGTCCTCACCCGGGTCTCGCCCTCCTCTGGAAACAGAGCACCACTGGGTTCCCAAACACCCCTTCGCATTTGGCAGCAAAGCCTCCGCCCCCTGCCCAATTGGCTGCCGGATTCCGGCTGGATTCGAATCGCAAATAGTAGTGTGGCGCAGCCCAAATAAATCAGCCTTGGGGACAGGTCGCATTACGGAGCCAGCACCTCTCCGAGGGCGAGGAGGGCGGCTTGAGGACGGAAGGCTCACTCCAGAGGGGCCCCTCCTCGAGTCTAAATAGTCCGGGGAGAAATAATTTCGTTTCAGTTTAGTAAATCTCCTCAAAAAGGAGACAGACGGAAGGAAAAGGAAAGGAAAAAGATAAAGAAAAAACCGCGAAGAGAATAGAACTTCTAGCAGCCTATTCACTGGGGAATTATGGGGGAACTTCTCCAGCTCTCGGGTTCCTCCCTAGTTTGGGGTGCACTTCTTCCCTCCGCATCCCTATTCTGCCCTCCTTTCTGGACCAGCTGGTGTGCTCCAAGGAAGCGCGGGACCCAGGGTCCCTTAGGGGTGGCTTTGAAAATGTGCCACTACTTCCGGGGGTGTTTTCCCCAGGGCCAAATCCAATGCATTGGGGAAATGGTACACTGGATGGGTCAGGCAGCCTTAGCTTGTTGTCTGGATAAACTCTACGGGTTAAACGGTTTTGTTTTATTTTTAAGCGAACTGAAAAGAAAAAAAAAGAAAAACCATTTTACTACCCCTTGTCTCCTTTAGTTGGAAAACCAGTCAAAAAAAAATTGTGACCGTGCAAAGGAGCAAATTGCAACTGCCCACCCTTGTTTTAGGCAATGTTAAAAAGAGATTGGGAATCTGGAAGGTAAAATCCCGGGCGCCTTCTCCAGCCATTTGAGACCGCACGTTGTGGGGTCGGTCACGGTCTGTCCCAGCGGTGTCAGGGCCGGTGCACCCTCGTTCAGCTGCTGCGGAGCTGCGGGGAAAGCACGTCCCTGGGGGCTTAGCTATTGTCCAAGGAAATTCAGACACCTTCATACTTCCTAATATAAAGAAACACACACAACAGGAATCAGGTTCGGGTCTGGGTCTTCTCAGGGCTCAGGCTTGGAGGCCGTTCACATCCTGGAATCTAACTTAGCCAGAGGATTTTTAAAAACTCGTCCGCATTAGAAATCACCTCACTGAGATATGAATTAAGAAAAAAAACAACAAAAACCTTTGCTTTTAAGAGTAAAACTGAGAAGCACTTGGCAACAGTTGGCCCCAAAGAAAATCAAATGTCCACAACGTTTCTGTAACTGCTTACAAATGAGCTTCTGAAAAAACTGAGTCTGTTAAAAACTTGGTCGGAAACTCACGAAAAACCCAAAAGAAAGTAGCTTTCAGCCCTGGTCGGAGTTAAGTGGCAGGCGGACGCCAGGTCAGCTCTTCTGCCAGTCCCATTCGATCGAACTCAGGTTAAAATTTAAAGCCCCTGAATCCTGCTCCGGTTGCCGATCTCTGTTCCAGAGTTTTCTACCTTCACTGGTTCCGATTGTGGCCACATCGAAACTGGGAACCGCCACAGTGATTGGGGGAAGCAAAGAGGAATGTAATAAAAGTGACTAAATTGGATGAGAACGGTTTATGGACCGTCTTAGTAGCAATTTAAAAGTCAGAAGTGTTTAGCAGCAATTTACAACGAAGAACGGAAAAAAATTAAAAAAAGAACTCTCTTCGACTTCCTCGATTCGGCGACCTCCTCCCCCTCATTGCCAGGGTCTGTCCCCTTCTCTCCTTACAATACACAGGTTCACAGCTCACTATTATAGTGAGGAAACATACTTTCAGCGACTCAGTCTCACGACCTCTCTAAACCATATTTTACAATGTCCCTACCTACCCCGGTTCAACTCTCTTAGTCTTGTCTTCCTTTTCCAACTGGAAAAACACAATATTAAAAAAGGAGAGAGAGAGAGAGAGAGCGCGCGCCCAAATGCTTTCAGGGAGACTGACCTTTAGAAAATCATTTACTTCGATTTACCTGGAAAAAAATTGTAAAATCCATTCTCACAAAGCAACTCCTCCTGCCCTAGTTAAAATTCTCTCTCCGCGGCCTTCTGGGGTCACGTCTGTCGGAAGAAATGTTTTTGTGCGCTAAAGGGAGCGAGACATATATCACAGCTCCTGCGGACCAACCTGCGGCCGCGCGCCTCGCTGCTGACAGATCGGCGCTGATAACCCTGCGACGTTCATTTCCAGTCCCTTTGCCGGCTCAGGACCATATCAGTTTGTACACAGTTGTGATAACCATTTGGAGGGAGAGAAGAAGGGGTGTGTATGTGAGGGTGGGGGTGGGGAAGCGGTACTTCCCGCTGGGTCCAGGGAAGTTGACCCCCCTCCCCCTTTCCAATGACTTATCCAAGACTTACCTGAAATTCTCCAGGATAAGCTCAGAGCAAACGGGACACCAAAACTTGGAGAGCATCTTGGGGCGCGACTGGGGTGGAAGCCCTTTTTTCCATCACGCGCACCTTCAGGGACTAGCCTTTAAGTACACCAGGACCCCGAATCAAAAGGTTTTTCCCAAAGGTTAGCTGGTGAGTGCAGACGTGAACTCCCGAAACCTCCTGGGAATTTATAGTCTGTTTCTTAAAAGCAGGGTAGAGATAAGAAGCTGGGCACTGGAGTTCCTTCTTTTCCATATATTTGGATCCTCGATCCCCGGTGGCCACTACGACCCGAGCCCCAGGGTCTCGAGAAGAGGTCGGGGAAAGTTTAAGGTCAGTCCCATACAGCTGCAGAACAACAAAAACTCTTCTAACGTGGACAGAAGAACGGGGCAGGCCCGAAGAGCAAAGCACTTTCCCCCTCATTCTGGGGGGCACGTTGACCCGAAAGCTGGCGCATCCCTCCCGCCGCGGGGGCAGCGCGGGGCTTTGCACAGCCACTGCTCCCCCCACCCGCCCCCGTGAGTGCGTGTGTAACTGGGGGCGGAGGAAAGTGCTGCGCCGCTGGATGGGTGTGGGTCGCCAGCCAGGTCAAGCGTTCCTCCACCTCCGCCCCTCCCCGGGCGTCCCAGGGCTCTGCGCCCCCTCGAAGGGCTCGCCCCCACTCCCGGGAAGGTACTCTGGGCTCGGCCCACAACCGGAGGCTGAGCGGCGCTCATTGTCTGCCCTGGCGGCGCGTTCCCCTCCCCCCGCCG